AACACCCTGTGGAAGGACTCCAATCCAAACATAAAATCATAGAATCATAGAATAGTTAGGGTTGGAAAGGACCTTAAGATCATCTAGGTCCAACCCCTGCCATGGATAGGGACACCTCACACCAAACCATGTCACCCAAGGCTCTGTCCAACCTGGCCTTGAATACCACCAGGGATGGGGCATTCACAGCTTCCTTGGGCAACCCATTCCAGTGCCTCACCACCCTTACAGTAAAGAACTTCCTTCTTATATCCAATCTAAACTTCCCCTGTTTAAGTTTTAACCTGTTACCCCTTATCCTGTCACTACAGTCCCTAATGAAGAGTCCCTTACCAGCATCCTTGTAGCTCCCTTCAGATACTGGAAGGCTGCTATGAGGTCTCGACACAGCCTTCTCTTCTCCAGGCTGAACAGCCCCAACTTTCTCAGCCTATCTTCATACAGGAGGTGCTCCAGCCCCCTGATTATCCTCGTGGACCTTCTCTGGACTTGTGCCAACGGTTCCATGTCCTTTTTATGTTGAGGACACCAGAACTGCACACAATACTCTAGGTGAGGTCTCACAGGAGCAGAGTGCAGGGGCAGGATCACCTCCTATGACCTTCTGGTCACACTCCTTTGGATGCAGCCCAGGATACGGTTGGCTTTCTGGGCTGTGAGTGCACACTGAAGCCAGCTCATGTTGAGTGTCTCATTGAGCAGTACCTCCAAGTCCTTCTCCAAAGGGCTGCTCTGAATCTCTTCTTTGCCCAACCTGCAGCTGGAATTGCTCCGACCCAGGTGTAGGACCTTGCGTTTGTCATGGTTAAACTTCATAAGGTTGGCATCAGCCCACCTCACAAGCGTGTCAGGGTCCCTCTGGATGGCATTCCTTCCCTCCAACGTATCAACCGAACCACACAGCTTGGGGTCATCGGCAAACTTGCTGAGGGCGCACTTAATCCCACTGTCCATGTCACCGACAAAGATGTTGAACAAGACCAGTCCCAACACAATCCCTGAGGGACACTACTCGTTACTGGTCTCCAGCCGGACAGTGAGCCATTGACCACAACTCTTTGCGTGCAGCCATCCAGGCAGTTCTTTATCCACCAAGTGGTCCATCCATCAAATTGATGTCTCTCCAATTTAGAGGCAAGGATGTCATGCAGGACAATGTCGAATGCTTTGCGGAAGTCCAGGCAGATGATGTCAGCTGCTCTACCCCTGTCCATCAGTTCTGTAGCCCCATCATAGAAGGCCACCAAATTGGTCAGGCAGGATTTCCCCTCAGTGAAGCCATGCTGGCTGTCACCAAGCACCTTGTTGTTTTCATGTGCCTTAACATGCCTTCCAGGAGAATCTGTTCCAAGATTTTGCCAGGCACAGAGGTGAGAGTGACTGGTCTGTAGTTCCCTGGCTCATCCATTTTCCCCTTCTTGAAAATGGGGGTTATATTTCCCTTTTTCCAGTCATCGGGAACTTCACCTGACTGCCATGATTTCTCAAATATGATGGACAGTGGCTTAGCAACTTCATTCACCAGCTCCTTCAGGCCGTGCGGATGGATTTCATCAGGTCCCATGGACTTGTGCACGTTCAGGTTCTTAAGATGGTCTCAAACCATATCCTCTCCTACAGTGGGCCCAAGGTCTTCATTCTCACAGTCCCTGCATCTGCCTTCCAAGACTTGGCTGGTGTGGTCAGAGCATTTGCCAGTGAAAACTGAAGCAAAGAAGTCACTGAGAACCTCAGCCTTCTCCAAATGCAGGGTAGCCATTTCTTACAGCTTCCAGAGAGGGCCCACATTGGCCCTAGTCTGTCCTTTAGTTGCAATGTAACTAGAATCCCTTCCTGTTATCTTTTACATACCTAGCCAAGTTTAATTCTAACTGGGCCTTAGCTTTCCTAACCTGGTCCCCAGCTTCCTGGACAACATCCCTGTATTCTTCCCAGGCCACCTGACCTTGCTTCCACCTTTTATAAACCTTTTTTTTCCCCTCTGAGTTTCCACAGCAGCTCCTTATCCATGCAAGGAAGTCTCCTGAACACTCCTGAGCTTGTAGCAGGTGATCCTTGAATACCAACCAACAGTCTTGTGCCCAAGACTTGGGCCCATCCTTATTCTTTATGTGAAACTTCAGTGCAACTATTAGAACACAAGCCCATTTCTATCCAGATACAGTAACAGGAAAACCAGTTTAAAAGATGGCATGTGCAAATCTCCCCACAGGAAATTTCCTCCACACAGGAAATTACTGCAGTAACGTGATATGTAGAAGATGCACCCCTCAACAACTGCTAGATTAATCAGAATCAGGATGTGCTCCATATTGTTATTCCTTTGGAATGTTAACCTTGCTAAACATTCACACTTTTTGGAAATCTGCCCATCAGTTATTCAGTTCATGCTTTTATAACAGCAACAACATAAAAAAAAAGAGAGATAAAGAAACCCCTGAGCATATTCTTTTTATTTAGAGCAGTATAAGCGTTTATGATAGCACAGTACTCTTTCTGGAAGTCAAATCACCGAAAGCTACATAGAATCATTACGCAGAGATTACGACAACTGATCCTCCTCTCACTTCCTGTTCAGAATAATAACACATGTGCTATGTAGAACCATTTCTTAAATTTGGAAAAGGGAATGGTAAGAATAAACCATTCCTACCTCAGAATTACCTGATTCTTACCTCAGAAACCTTTTAAGTTCTGAGACACACAACCCATGTATAAAAAAAAAAACAAAAACCAAGAGGATCATGCAGTGACAGAACATACAAGTCCTAGAACATACTTTTGTGAAAATGAGACAGATTTATTTGAACATAAGCTAGAATTAGAAAAAATAGCAGATGGCCAATTGCAGCACCACTGAAATTCCAACAACTTGTTTTGAAATGTTAATTCTTAAAATAAGGTTTTAGAGTTGGAATAGATTCTCTGGGGAAGACAGAAAGCTTGGTTCAGACAAGCAACTCAGATTCCTTTCTAAAATCAACTGGACACCAGTAGCTAGCTGCATTCTGGGGGCATTTTCCTCACATCTGCAGGCTGGTTTAGGTGTTCCTCAAGCAGTCATAACTGAAGGTTGCTTTTTTTAAAGCTATCCTCACTTCAGGCTAGTTTCTCCTGCCATTCTTGAAAGAACTCACATCCTCCTCCCCAGGTTTGCCATCCAGCTCTTAAGTTAGTTTTACTTCAGACGTAACAATTTCATAACCTCATTATCAGCCCGCTGTGGGTCCCAAAATTTGGGAACAAGATCCCTCATAAAGACTAAAACATAATATTAATTGGCCTTCTAAGCCACATTCATATTAACAAAGAGCATAAGGACATTGATGGAACTACTGCTGATGGCAATCCTGTTTCAGTGTCCTTGCTAGAGACTGAACTCAGCCCATTCCCCACAAGCTTCCTGCTTGCCCACCAAGAATTTCGTCTCTTTCTCATGAGAAACAAACGTTTCTGGGGAGCAACAGGAAGAACCTAACCTGTCATACCTAGCTTTCTCCTCTCTTAAGTCTGTTAAAGACTTAAAAGTAAACAGAAGTTCTTCTCCCCCACAGGAAGTGCTTTTCCTCGTGTGCTACACACCAGACAAATCCAAGATACTCCAAAAGCCACCATCTGTATGTAGATATTACGACATCTTTGTGTAAGGGCAAACAAGCTTTGCTTTAAAGCTATGATCAAGTGAACTCTTTGAAATTTAATGCCTGTTCCCTCAAGAGACACTCGCTCACAGCTTTAAGGCAAAAGGGCACTGAAAACGGATGCTGAACCCAGAATCCCAGACCAGAAGCCATATGCGGCACTGAGTTTGACGTGGGTTGTGTTTGTACACGTTGCAAAAGTACCATTTTGAGTGAGACTTCCCAAGCCTCAGAATGCAGCGCTTGTCTCTCCGCTGAGGTTGGCACTGACCTCCTGCGGCTGCTGCCGTTACTGCCGACACGGTGGCTCCAGGAGGTGGTGGCTGTCCCTGTCCTGGGTTCAGCAGTAGCAATCATTTTTCTCCTTCTTACTAGGTGGTGCAGCGCTGTGTTGTTGACTTTCAGCCTGGGAACAGCGCTGATAACATCGATGTTTTTAGTTACTGCTCAGATGTTTAGACTGACCAAGGACTTTGTGAGCCTCATGCTCTGCTAGGGAGGAGGGGAAGCCAGGAGGAAGCAGAGACAGGACACCTGACCCAAACTGATCAAAGAAGTATTCCTTACCACAGCACGTCATGGCCAGGATGTAACTGAGAGTTACTGGGAAGGGCTAGGGCACTGCGGGGTTGGACGAGGTATCGGTCAGTGCTCAGTAGGGCAGGGTGGGGCGAGTGGTTGTATTCTCTTCCCTTGTTATTTCCTTTATCATTATTGGTGGTAGCAGTAGTGATTTGTGTTATACCTTAGTTATTAAACTGTTCTTATCTCAACCCGTGGGACTTGCATTCTTTCGATTCTTCTCCCCATCCCTCCGGGAGCAGAAGGAAGGCAAGAAGGGGGGGTGGGGGGAGGTGGGGTGGTGAGAGTGCGTGATTTATGGCTGACTGGCTTTAAACCACGACACTCCCTCAGGCGGCGCGAGCCGGCCGGCGCCATCTTGCGGACCCCGGCCAGATTTACGTGCGCCAGCTTGAGGGCCTACTGCGAGCTACGCGGAGCTACGGGCGTGCGGAGGCCGTGGCGCCGGGAACGTCCCGAAGGCTGCTGGCCCTCTCCCAGAGCAGGCCAAGCTGACACGGCGGCTGAAAAACCTGCAACAGCAAGGGTAGCGGCATGTTTCCGCGCCGCCTGCTCTGCTGTCTCTCACACACGCACAACTTCGGTCCCGGCTACTGGCTTGGAGCTGCCGGTCCAGCAGGATGGTAGAAGCCTCCCCCCACTGCCCTTCACCCTGTACACACAGAGGGGTCCTAGCGTTAAAAACAGTATCAAAGTATAGAAGCAAAACAGACCTGTTTTACTTCAGGGATTAAAACGTGTGGGTTTTATTACTCCCACTCCCCCCCCCCCATTTCGTCTCATCACCTACCATTAACTAATCAGCTTCTCCAGGTAGCACAGCTGCTTTCCCTCCTCTGAAATCACATGTGACTCCATCTTTCTGGTCAAAAATATCTTCCTGGAACTCCAGACAAAGCAGCAACACCTCCAGTGTTCATCTTTTTCGTGGCCACACTTCCTGCAGGAGCAAAAGGAGCAGAGCCCTTCCTCAGGCATTGCCTTGTGGCCAGTACCAGCACAGCCTGGAAAGCATTGGCAGCAGAGGACAGTGGGGGCCTGGACACTATCCCATGCACTCCCTGCACACAGGTGAGTGCGTTCTGATAGATATCCCTAGGCAAACATCGAGCATGCAATCTAACTTAAATGCAGATGAATGCAAAGCAAAAATAAAGTTTTCTCCTGTCACAGGAGAGATTTAGGGCTTTCCTCCTCAAGTTTCTTGCTGTTCTGGTTCCATACTGAACTCTGTAAGTAGTCATTTGTACATGTGCTTTCTTTTGTGTGTGTTTCACTGTAGAGACAGGTTTGTCATAGTATTTCTTAAGGTACAGCTTTTTCAGCAGACAGCAAGACCAATATTAAAGTCAGGTCACAATTTCCATTACAAACACTGATTTCACAGATTTTAGTACCCTTGAATAAAAACGTCCTGCACACAGAAACAAAATGCTGCGGAAAGCAAAGAACTAAAGTAGAGGCACCGGCTTGCACCTGCTACCGCTGCTTATATGAACCTGTTTCCACTTTTCACTAATCAGTAACCCAACCTCTTAAAAACTGTATTTTTTCCACTGCAAAACAAAGCAGACATGTTGTGCTGCTGATGTCTGAATGCCTATCCTGATGGACTATCATGACAGCTGCAGTCAAACCAGTGCAGCCACTGTTGTGCAGTGAGGACAGCAGAGTCTGTACTACTGTTTAAACAAGTATGCTAATGAACGTTTGTTTTAGAAAAAATAAGAGACATTTGAGCACCCTGAGCTTAAAATCATCATTTAATAATGGGAAGTGTTTTATGTCCTTTCAACACACAGGCACGATGCCACAACTTAAACAAGCTGCTTAATTTTCTCTCTAATGCCTGAATATATGTGATGGGCATATAGTGCTGTATCACCCTCAGCTGGGAATTGCCTTAACTTTATTGTTTTCTGTCACTGTATGCTCTCCCAATGTTTTAGTGATTGTGAAAGATCAGTAAGGAAGAATTACTTCAAAACTCTTTGAAAAGGAAAAAATCCACAAAGGAACTTGAAACAACAGTAAACTTGAGACCTGTTGTACAGCACAAAAGATCTCATGAGGAGGCGAGGAAGCCCTTCAGTTGCAAAAAATAATGAGAGAGATGCCACTGCAGGATCACTGGCAGGAGATATTTAAGAGAGAAAAGATAAGTAACTAGCTTTTGAGCAGCATTTTGTTCCCAGGGTCCCATCCTTGTGGATCGATAAAATACTTCTTGTCAGCTGAGATTATGAGTTACCACTTATGATGTTAAAATGGACATCTTAAATATCTTTTCATCAGCCTTTCCTTCTAAATTAAAATTGGTGTGCAAAGACTGGTCTGAGTTGAAGGGGAGCATAAGCAGCGCTGTACTTTGTGCTGGCAGTACATTAACGATGACCAAGGATCCTTTAGGCACAGTTTCATCACACTCACAAGGCCAATGCTGGCCCATGGGGCAGTACCACTCTGCCTGCTAGAAATTTCCATCCCTTTTCTGGTTCTAATACCAACATTTGTCAATTGATCTGGCAGTAACATTTTTATTTTTCTCTTTTGGGTGAAGTTTCACCATAATGGAATACAAGTTACAGAGGTAGCATATGGGAAGTCAGTGGGAACTAGGCCCCAGGTTTCAGCAGCAGTACAGAAGCCAGTTTGTGAAACTGCACTTCCACATGCCTACAAAACAGGAAGCAACATTTGTCAAGGCAAATGACACCTTTTATTAGAAGACCTAATACAGCTGGGAAAAAAACTAGCAGTCTTACACACTCAAGTCCTTCTTCAAGAAACCTATCTGCTGAGGAATGGATTTCCCAGTGTTTAACACTGGAAAAGGCAGTTACCTCTCAAAACTAACCAACAAAACCTTTAGTAAGTCTTTGGGCCAGAAAGCAAAAAATGATCCCACAGCTTGGTAGTGATCCCACAGCTTGCTATCTGGATGATTTGTTTGTAAGACCAACTGCAGTTCCTGTTGCAATTAATAGTAAATGTTGTGATTATTTTACAAATAGTGGAAGTATTCCAACTGGAGAATACAGAAAACTTGCAACAGAATATTCTTGATCCAATTTGCTAATATGCTCTCCTGAGAGACTCAGATTCTGTCTCCAAATTGGATGGGCAAGTGAATTTAAGCCTCTGTTCTTCTTGTGCTGTTGTGCTAAGCAGGTGAAACAAGCTTCTGCTATTCAGTGTCTACTGGGTGTAGCCACCTTCCATTTGCCTCCAGGAAGGCTGTGCAAATAGGTAAGACAGGAAAATCTATCTTGTAAAACTTTCATCATCTTTGATTTGGTAAGAGTGCCATAATGTTTAAGTTATAAACAGTTTTTCACATAAACAGTGACTGAAACGTAGTGGATTCTGATCTTAGCTTTGGTTCGTAGCTACCGTCTCACAGGGGAGAGCTCTTATGAACTGTCTTTAAGTGCATGAACCTGTTCTCTCAGCTACTGAATTTCTTTTCTCTCTTGTCTGTCCTCAAGGTTATTCAGTTCCTCTTTATCATACTGTAATTCCCTTGCACAGTACCAGTGTTTCCCAGCTGCGTGCCAACAGCAGTTTTCATTAGCAAACTCTTCATTATTGCACAAAGGTTGTTAATGAAAGCATGACATGTTTGTGCCCAAGAAAACTCCTTGAAGTTCTTTAGTAGCAAACTCCCTTTAGCCTCAAAAGACCTCTTAAGGAGGTGCCAACCTCACCTTACATCCATAAATCCCAAAGCTTCATTATAATGCCCAGTGTGTGATTTACCTTAATCTGTTAAGTACAGAATTGTAATGCTGTAGTGAGCCATACTTGCAGAAAGGTGTAGATTTCTTTGGATGCAGCATGTCTATCCTAATGCTTGCATTTAAGCAGAGAAAAGATGATGGCCTAAGACAATAACAATTTACCAGAGGAATAAAAGGGAAAACTTCTGAATTACATCAGAATCAGACAAAACAAGATGATCTGACCTGAACTATAGTGGTCCGAGTAAAATCCACACTGATGCTGGAATCTGATTCCAGCATGATCAAAGAGGTAGCAAAATAATCTTTATTAATTTATCAGGAAATAATGAAGAGAGAAAATGCTTGTTTTTTTCAGGAAGCAGAAATCTGTATGTATCACACACTTTTATTAAAATACAACAGAGGATACAGATTAATTAATTAGTCCAAGAATTAGTAACCAATAGAAATTTATTATTACCATTATCATTATTATTATTAAACAAAATAAAAGGCCACTAGATTCATGTCACATGCCAAGTAATTAGCACAATTGCCCATCAGCTTGGCTAGCTGAAGAAGGCAATACTGAGCCTTTGAAGGGAACATTTTTGGTCCCATCACAAACTGGTTCTTGGAGGTGTGCAAAGAAGTTCTTACAACCAGGGTGAATCACTGACCTGGCTTATCTGGAGCCTGTAAAATGAGTAAGACACACTTACTGTGTCACAATTATCAAAAGATACATCAAAGTTATTTAACAGCTACTGCAAGTAAGCAGGGAGACCGAGTTCTTGTGTTGTTTCCTGATGCTGTTGGATAAGGATCTTCTTCCCTCCACTTTATACTTCACTCTCTCATAATTTTTCACTCCTTCCAGGTTCCCATTACTGTGCAGAACCCATCTTCTCTCTCCAGTCAAGAACTCTGTCATATCCACCTTGGCATCAAGCCTTATTTCTTGCTTCTTGTGCTGTAGCATAGAATCACAGAATGGCCTGGGTTGGAAGGGACCTTAAAGCTCATCCAGTTCCACCCCCCTCACAAGGGCAGGGACACCTTCCACTAGACCAGGTTGCTTCAAGCCCCATCCAACCTGGCCTTGAACACTGCCAGGGATGCGGCATCCACAACTTCTCTGGGCAACCTGTCTCATAATGAAGATTTTATTTCCTGTTATCTAATCTAAATCTATCTTCTTTCAGTTTAAAGCCATTCCTCCTTCTACATTCCCCCCCCCCCAATATCTAATCTAAAACTATCCTAAATCACTTGTTCCTTTTTTCTGTTTCTTTTGTTTCATTCCTAGCAGATTTTTAAATTGCTTTATTCTACACTATATTTATTAGGAGGTTAGCTCATAAAACATGGTTGATTTGTTTCCACAGCATTAGCTTTTCTTTCTAGTCTGTTATCTATAAGGTCTCTGGCAAGTTTATCTGGGGCATATCAACCTGCGAAGCACTATGTATGTTAGACAAAATAATAAGTAACCCAAGACAAATGTGGCTGCCTACAAAAAGTACATTGGAAGCTTTATTTAATTCGCTGTTATTTATATTCTAAACACATATATGCACCTGAGTACAAGAAATATCATGCAGCTCACCTTTCAAATGAATAAAAAAAGTAAACTATTACAAAGATTACAGCATAGTTAAACTAAGATTTCTCAAATATGTTTTATATATTACTCATAAGAATATTATAATTGTGTAAGAATTATAATTCTTATAATTATTCTTATTCTTATAATCTACACAAAAAAGTATAGCCAGGAGTTAATGAATTAGGAAATACTAGGATTAAGACTGTGTATATTCATTATGATACGCGTCTTTACTACATGGACATCTGCTATTTCTTCTACCTGACCCATGCCTTATTTAGAGTTAGGACAGATTGACTGCTCTCTTATTGAACTGCTATCCACTGTTTGCTTTTGTTTTTATTTGTTCACTGTCAAAAGCCAGTACTTTACTCAGCACAAACTACTCCATTACTGCTTTAAAGGAAGAAATTTGGACTTTAGTATGACTCTTCCTCCCTCTCCTCTTACATACAAATGATTTCATTGCAGAAAGAGGGCATGTCTGTACTATGCAATGGGGCATAATGCAGAGTTAATTCAACTATTCCAGGAGCTCCATGGCAAATACAGGTCATCCTGTGCACATCAGAGGATAAACTATCATGTACAAAGGGCAGGTTAGAGCAGCCATACTATAAAACACTTGACTACTTGTTTCACTGGTTTTGGCTGGGGTAAAGTTAATTTCCTTCATAGCAGCTGGTATGGGGCTCTGTTTTGGATTTGTGCTGGAAACAGCACTGACAACACAGACATGT